GGGTATATAAAGCATGTGTGAGAGCAGCGATGATATATGGTGGTGAAACTTGGGTGTTGAGGAGAGAGGAGGAAAGTGTACTGCAGAGGGCTGAAAGAGCTATGGTGAGGATGATGTGTGGGGTTAAAGTGAAGGATAGGAGGAGTAGTACAGAGCTGATGTCAATGATGGGACTGAATGAGGACATTGTGACATTGATAAGGAGATCGAGATTGCGGTGGTATGGACATGTGTTGAGAAGGGATGAAAGGGTCGGGATTAGGCGAGCGTTGGAGTTCGAGGTTGAAGGAGTGGTAGGAAGGGGTCGTCCGCGGTTGGGATGGAGAGAGCAGGTGGAGAAGGACAGGGTGAAAGCGGGGTTGCGTGGTACTGAGGCGAGTGACAGATGTGGATGGAGTCGAGGGGTATTTCGGTTTCATCATAGGTAGCCAAACGGCAACCCCCGATCTCGGGGAAAATGCCGTCTAAACGTGTGTTGTTGTTGTTATGAAAGAGTTTAGAAATCAAGAACCATCGTGTTTTTCAATTTCTAGAACAAATCCTCATGACAGGTGTCTTCAGTAGTGGATTTAGGAGATGGTCTGGGCTTCCCGTTGTGAGCGTTATTTGTGTTAAAAGTTAGTAAAAGTCCTTATTTTAATGGAACAAGTAGTGTTTTTGAAGAAAAAATGGACATCGTAGACATTATTAGAAAAATTTCCCGAACAAATTTGTGAAAATTCCAAAATCTTGGCACTACCCTGTCAAAGTTGTCGAGATCCGCCACTGGGTGTGCTAAGAGAAGCTTGGATTTCTTTTGTCAAAAGAGAAACAGGGTATTTGTATTAAAAAACGCAATAGTAGTAAAATATTTTGAATACATATCTAATTCCCTATCTGTATATACGGCGGTGAAACTCAATGTTAGGTTTGCGGCGATCTTTTTCAAATCCTAATGTTTATTTTGGACAGATTCATGATTGACAAAGATTTTTATTACAATCATAGTGTTGAAATTCGCTATTAACTATTTTAACTTTTATTTTGTTATTTGTGTACACTTTTATATATTTATCAGATGTGAGCACTTATCAGTGTGTACTTTTGGTTGAGCTCACTAATAACAACAGCAAACAACACACGTTTAGACGACATTTTCCCCGAGATCGGGGGTTGCCGTTTGGCTACCTATGATGAAACCGAAATACTCCTCGATGCCATTCACATCTGTCACTCGCCTCAGTATCACGCAACCCCGCTTTCACTTTGTCCTTCTCCACCTGCTCTCTCCATCCCAGTCGCGGACGACCTCTTCTTATCACTCCTTCAACCTCGAACTCCAAGACTCGCCTAATCCCGACCCTTTCATCCTTCTCAACACATGTCCATACCACCGCAATCTCGATCTCCTAATCAATGTCACAATGTCCTCATTCAGTCCCATCCTTGACATCAGCTCTGTACTACTCCTCCTATCCTTCACTTTAACCCCACACATCATCCTCACCATAGCTCTTTCAGCCCTCTGCAGTACACTTTTCTCCTCACTAACTTGAGCTCACTAATAAAGTTATGTTAATTACTTTCCACCTGATAACCTGATAAGAAAAATATGATAATTTGTCTAGTTGTATGCACAAGTATTCGCTATTGTATATTATTAACATTAAAAAAATTTGCAAGTTATTCAGATACTCTATTTAGAATCAATGCACACATGCTGTATCATTTTGAAAAGACCATATGAAACAAACTGTTGAAAAAGTGAACATTTCTGCAAAATTGTACCTCATCCGTTAAATTAATACCATAATGATTCTTTGATGGATCAATATTCAATACTTTAGTATTGCTAATAGTTGTCAAATCAATAAACTCGTTGGCATTGAGGCGATTCACGTCAATAAGTCTTTGCAGTGATGATAGGGATAGCGTGGGGTACTCCTTCATCATGCTGAAATTTTTTTTTTAATGTTTCAAAAACTCAGCAGCGAGTGATGTATATTCTAAAATCTAAATAAAGATTGGGTCAATGAAAATAAATCAATCTCACAACAACAAAGCATGAAGATAAACTTTAATCAAAAGTTCTCATCACAGCCATGAGAATATATATTTAAAATATCAATATGTAGCAACAAATTTGTTTTTAGCAGAATGCTTAAAATAATTTAAAAACTAAACAATTGACTTTAACATTTTAAAAATAAATTTGCAAGTTTTACATACTGTAAACCCTTGTAATATGGTTCTTTAGGAATCAAAATGTGAAATGGAGTATTGCCACCCTCAAATCCTATAGGTGGTAAAGTGTTTCTTTGTCCTTGACCCTTATTACCTCTTCCACATTTTCGACCGCCATGTTTACCCAATCTGTGCTTTCTCTGTCATGAAAAATTTCAAATGATACATTAAATTAACTAGATACATTCATATAAACCAGCGCGGAGACGATATGATCTATAAGAAAGCGTCAAAGTCAGAGTCAGTCGGAAATATTGACCTGGAGTCCTAATTTTTTAGGGCCAGAGTCGGAGTCATATATTTTTCATCCGAATCTGACACTCTGATATATATATATATATATATATATATATATATATATATATAACTTCCTGTTTAACTTTTCGATTTTAATACAGATTTGAATGGAGAAAAATATGAAAAATATGAAAATGGAATATATTTTATTTCAATGTAATTGTTCTATGCATTTTATTTTTTATTGATATCAAAATAATGAATTCCTGTTTAACTTTTTTATTTTTCTAATGGTTGAAAAATAGATTTAGGATCAACCGTAAGAAAAATTAAACAAGAATTGCATTTCTGACAGTCTTAATCCAATATATATATATATATATATATATATATATATATATATATATATATATATATATATTTTTCAGTGATATATATAAATACAAATATATATATATATATATATATATATATATATGTGTGTGTGTGTGTGTGTGTGTGTGTGTGTGTGTGAGTGTGTGTGATATAAATGAATGAATGATTGAATAAATGAATAAATAAAGGTATGAACTAGATGAACTAAAGTTAAAAATTAATTATCACAGACAAACATGTGTCAAATCACAAAGAAAAACAAAACTACATTATTAAGTCAGCTGACAAATTTCCAAAAAGTCAGCTCTACATGCATCTATTATGATTTTTAACTTTATTTTTTTAGAAAAAAAAGAATTCATCAGCCATATCATTTACATTTCATCATTGTGGATTATCTAAAATTTTGCACAAAAGATCTGCCACAACATTTTAAAATCAAAAATATTGTTTCAGCAGTTAATCCTTTTATATAAAAACAATTCCTTTTTCTATTTCAACAAGTTTGTCCATGTGGTACGATCATAAAAACCTAAAAAATGTTTAAAATAGTTTTTCCAGTTTACAGCACAGACACTTGTTTACAGCTGTGTGACACTTCCTACAAAACCAAGATGCAGATGAAACAAACCTAGATCTAGCAACATGAATTGGGGCAACCTCATCAATAATTATTAAAAATTCTTTTTCAAAAACAGCACCATCTCATCCATATTGTGATTGTCAAATTTAAACTTTTTTAAAAGAGGTAATTCTACTAAGACTAATTGAATGAATTTGTTTTCATCAAATTTATTCCAACAACTTTTTCTTCATTGTTACTTTTTGTGATAGATATTTATAATCATTTTGATAAAGCTGCGATCTGAATACACTCCAGGTAAATAAGCCATACAACTAGATGTTGGAAAATCAAGGAAGTGAAGAAAGGGAGGCAGTGATGAGACCTGAAGTTCAATCATAAATCTGAGCTAACAAAAATTACAAAAATCCAAAATAATAATAAAAAACTTGGCATTTGAATCATCAATTTTTTCAATTCACAATAACTAAACTTAAGTCATTTAATTTAATTTTTAATAAAATCATAAATAAACTAAAAAAAAAAAAATAATCCTAGCACAAAAGCCCAGGACTGCTCTCCTGATTTATCATGAGGTGCGGGAATACATGGTACAGAATTATCTAATCACTAACTGTTGGTGTCGGCCGGAACGGTCTGATGTTTCCAAGTGAAACGCGAGGAAGGTGCTTGATTAGAGCACGAGCCGCTTCAATGCCTTTTTCCAACATCTTGTACGTCTGTGAACTGAGTTTTACGAACTTTATAAAAACAAAATCATGGAAAACTAGAGCATAAGACATAAATTTGAAAAAAAAAATTAAGGAATACAAGATTTTAAACAAACTGTAAATTGCACGCACAAATTATTATAAAAAAAATTAATATAGTATTATAACAAATATTAGTAATAATAATAATTATCAATCAATCAATCATTTACTTTATAAAGAGCTATTTCTGCGATGTTCAACAGTGCTTCTCAATGAATTTTGCAAACAGATGGGTTTTGAGATCCGCTCTAAACTTTGCGAATGATGGAGTAGTCAAAGAAGGAAGTAGATAGTTTCAGAGAAAAGGGCCAGAAAAAGCAAATGCAGATTTAGCAAAAAAGTGTTTAACATGCGTTAAGAAGAAGTGAGAAGAAGAAGACGATCGTAAACCGGGGCGTTTAGATTCAGTTAATATCTCTGATAAGTATTTAGGAAATAATTTAGATTGAAACTTATACATAAATGTGCAAATTTTAAAATTATTCTATATTTTAGAGGTAGCCAGTGCAAGAGAACTAGATCTGGAGATAGATGAAAAAAGGAAGGGGCACGAGCAACTAAAAGAGCCGCATGCAGAGTTAAAAGCTTTTCTTAAAGGATAGAGTGTAGAATCGAATCAGGAAGACCATAGTAAACCGAGTTTAAATAATAATCAATCCTAGATAAGATTAACGTAGTAAAAAGAAGGAGAAGAGTAGGATCGGCGAGGAATGGCAAACGTTTTTAAATTTTACGTAGATGAAAGTAAGAACATCTAGCAACACTATTAATCTGAAAAGAAAGAGATATACTAAAATCAAAGATTTTATTTTTAAGATTTGTTAAATGTAATTCGACGTAATCGATGTTTGCAAAATAACAAGAGCATTTTTTCGCCAAAAATTTAACTTATTCACGCCAACCAACAAATTGTTTAGATACTAATGTTAGGATCTGTTAAAACTAAATAAATACAATAGAAATTAAATAACTGTTTCAAAAAACAAATTTTCATTATCATTCAAATGTTGTTAATAAAAATGCAAATAACAAGTTTGAAATTTATCTCAATTTAATTTTTGCATTATACAAATTTTTTTGGTGCTCCATGTTTTTTGTTTACAAATTTTTAAAATTTTGTGTAGAAAGGGCATGTGTTGCTGATGTTATTAAATGTTTGTTAAATTTTTTGAAATTTATGTAAAAATTTGTGTTTCGTTTTTTAAATAAAAGTAGTATGTCTAATCGCGAGTTGTTATTATCTTGTGTTATGAACACAAAAACTGTTTTGTGCGTTAACACTAACCCGAACATTATTTTCAAAGCGATAGAAGATTTAGCATCCTTTTTGCGAAACAACCCAGAAGCGGAATACATATTCTACAATGAGTTTTATTACGACGTTTTGAACGGCATATTAAATAACCTATGTGTATCTTGGACAGAATGTTCTTCATCTCACGATATTGGTTTACTGGTAAGGAATCTCATTTATACTGGACCGCAAGATCAGTCTTTTTCACTCCTGAGTAAATTTCTTAAATGCTTGAGCTCTGATACACCCTTTTTCCATCAAGCAATTTTGTGGCTCGTTGATTTAATTAAAGAAAAATGCTTTAAAACTGTTTTGGTTACATCAATCAGCCAGGATACGTTCACACCAAGTCAACAATTTAGTGAATTTATACAATGTGCTGCATCGTTGCCTACAATTATAGCTAATAAGTTTTCTGGGATAAATATTTACAATGAGTTGCAGCCAGATGTGTACTTTGTGTCAATAAGCCATGATATTTTTTTGGTTCTTTTAGCAGTCCATGATAGACTAAAGTGCAACAAAAATACATATGTGTTACCTATTTCCAAAATAATTGGTAAAATCTGTGTATGTGGTTATGGAAAAGTTTTATGGAAGCCATTATTAGAATATTTGAATAAAGAATCAAACTCATTTTTGTGGAAACGAATTATTCAAAAGGTCATTTTAAATATGGATGATTGGTGTTTTGAATTGGCTATTGAACCAATGTTGTCTTTACTTGAGTCAGTTGAAGATTATGATTATATGTTTGGAGATACAATTTTGAAAAAATCAAAGCTGAATTTTTTGTTCACCCACAAGTTAATGTTGGTGAGATTCAACTCTGACATTAAAGTTATGAAAAATGTAATGTCATATTTAGGACACAATAAGGTTTTGCATGAAGTTTTTATACTAACTTTCAAAAACATTCTTAAAACTTGGAGTGAAAAAAATTTTGTGAAACATCGATGTATTGAACAGATTATATATTTATCAAAAGCAATTATGGTAGCTATCAACGTAACAAAAAAGAACTCATTTTTGGTAAAAGATGTTTATGAAACTGTAAATACAACACTTTTAAATGGTTTGCCTTTGTATTTGGAGTCTTCAATAGCAAACATCAGAAATATTGGTATGGTCATCAGCCAAAATTTGTCCTCACTTATTCATTCCGGTGAAAAAAAATTAATTTTGCCTTACGAAAAAAATGATGTCACAGATAGTCTTTTGATTTTAGTAGATGATATTTCTGATTTTACTATGAAAACAAATGCTTCAAATAAAAATGATATATCAGACACATCATCTGCATGTTTGGATAATGATGAAAATCTTATATCAGATAGTAAAAAATTGGATAAAAATTTAGATAGTGATGATGATAATGATAGTTTACTGCCATTTAATACCGAAAATAATGATAAAAATATAAAGAAAGTACCGAAATACCTCAAACAATGCATTGAAGGTCTTTTAAATAAAGACGATCCTGAGCTTGCTGAGATGTGTCTGAAACAAATTATTCCATTAGTCAGCAATCACTTGGAACATAAAGAATTGTATAAGGAATTGTGTGGAGTACTTCTTAATCTTGAGAACTGTTTTTCGATAGAAAACTTTGAATTTATTAAATATAAGTCACTATTAACTTTATTGATATCTTACCCTGAATCAATTGCAGAATTTTTAGCTAACGAGTTCTATGGAGAAGCCTATAATTTGAAACAAAGAATTGACATATTAAACATTCTGGTTGATGGTGCCAAACATTTGTCCTTTTCAAATGATCATTTTGGTTGTGGTGAATGTTCCGTTAACAATAATGCCCAAATTGGATATGCTTGCAAGACGACCAATATGTCGACTCCGCCAATAAAACAAGAAGATTGGAAGTTACTTTTGCAAGAAAGAATTAAAAAAAAAACAAAATTTTCAACTAAACGTGCAGTGAAGAATGTACCGCAAGAGAACAAATTTGCTTTGTATGCTTCATATTTTTTTTATCCTCTTATGAAAAATTACGACATTAAAAATATTTGTATGGAGCTCACAGAAAGAGATCACTTCGTACTTGAAAAACTTTTGATATCACTTGGGACAATAATGTATTGTTCATTTAACATTCCTTCAGCTCATCATATGGCTAAAAATCTTTTACAGTTTTCAAATAGCTTCCATCGGCATGTGGAAGTCACCGTGAGACGAGCCGTGTTATTTTGTTTGAGTATGTGCGTTGTTGTTTTGGATTCAAATTCTTCATCATCGGATGTTACTTATGAACTAAATAATATTAGCAGCTGGTTGGCTGATGTTAAATTTTTTGAGTGGGACAACCAGTGTATTGAGATGGCTGATCAAATCATGCCGGTTATTAAAAAACTGAAGTTACAATTTTAGTTTAAATTTGAAACTTTATTATTTTGTCTTTGTCGCTTTTTATTATTACTTATTTATTTGTGTTGTTATAAAAAAAAAATCATTTCATAACTCACGTTTAAATGTTTTTGATCTAAGCTACGGATACATTTGTCTTTATAATTCAGCTCTGTCAAACGCTGATCTGCTTGCATGTGATTCAATACTTATAATCTTTTCTGCCGTAAAAGCTGTACTATATACGCATAACACTACATACATACACATGTATGCACGAGTAAGCATCACATCATTTGCGCGCGTCCATCGTGTAATAAGAGTTCCGGGCATGCCACTTCTGCAGACTCGACTAGCTAACTCGTTCACCCTAAATGTTTTTGCTGGCATAACGTTTAACCTTCTGAATAGCACTATGGGGAGTGCTAGAGTTCCAAGTCTTTACGATCAGTTTAAAATGCGGAAGATGTCATATAAGGTGCGCGTATAATTATAGTATAGTCGGGCCTCCGCGTAACGAATTTGATGGTTCCAGGAAAAAGTTTGTTACAGAGATTTCGTTACATAGAATTCGATCGGGAAAAAATTCTATATTGCCTAAAAACAACCTTATCATTTGATAACAGAAAGTAATAAAACACGGTATAATTGTAAAAAATAAAATTTTAAAAGTGATTTTTTTTCCATGCAACGATGATTCCGATTCCATTGAAATCAATCGAGATAGAATTCGCAAAAACTGCTAGAACAAGAAATATGATACATGAACACCGTTCATGTCACTTCATAAATTGTTTGCTGGTCAGATATTTCTTTTTATTATTATAAACTTTGTTCGTTATAGAGAAATTGTTTACGTTCTATAGAAACAGTTTATATTAATATGTAAAATTCCAAGGTAAGTAAAAAATTCGTTGTATACATATATATAATTTCCCTTATATGATATATTCTATATATTTGGTTGTATGAAAATTCGCTATAATAAGGTCCAATTATAAAAAGTTTAATTTAGAAAAACACCTTTGAATTTACCAGTGTGGAAGTCGGATGAAAAATATCCTACTCCGACCTCAACCCAAAGATTTATGAAATAGTTTTACAACCATTTAGACACAAGAAAAATTGGTGTAAGATCCAAACAGCCAATAAACGCATATTATGTGTAATGAAATATGAAATAAATGGGCTTAACAAATGGACAAGAATTTGACTCAATAAGACAATCACGCACACACACACACTGCAAGAACACGCGTACCCTGCAGCACAATTGCATGAACATGTAAAATGCAAAAATCGCAAAGGCATAACACTTCTGTCAGTTCCGCATTATCATCTTCTGAGAAAAGTTTATTAAACGGTTAATAAAGATGCAGCGAAAAATAATCTCCTGTTCTACCTGAATAGTGTTTTCTTCTTCCATTTCTAAATTTTTATGTTTGTTTTACGTAATGACGTTTTAGCAACAAAATATTTTTATTTTTAAATATTTTTTATTCAAAGGAAATTATCTTTAACTAAGTAAGGTTACAAAAGCTTTTTTTCAAATATATAAGAATAAAATGTAAAATATATACGAATAAAAAAAAATATGTCTGTAACATATGGAAAAGTTTTTCTCACCTAGGAATCCAGGCTGCTAGAAAAATAAATCCATAAACAATTCCCAGTCGAGATTATCTAGCCGTATTGCTAATTATAATGCAAGGATTTTTAGGTTTAAAAAACAACACAGCAAAAGACAACTTAAAATTTTTACACAAAACACCCAGTCTACTGATACAAAATAATAAGTTAAATAAAACTGATGCAGCACAAAACTTAAACTTCATCAGTTAAAAGCTAAAAGCCTAATAGGAATAAAAAAGACTCAAAAGATTTAACATTAAGTTTAAATTAGACGTTGACAGGTAAAAAGAAAAGCACAGGCGCTATGTCTTGAAAGACGTATAAAAAAGTATTTTGGTAAGGTAACTTCGTTCAAATGTAATCTGTGTAAAAAAGAAACTCCAAGACAGTTAAAATTAAACGGTTGCAGTCGGTTTCATAAGAAGTTGGACGTTAACCAATCATTCTGTAAATTACGAAATTAGCTTTTTAGTATAGAGTTTGTTACTAAAAACAGAAACAAAAAAACGGAAACAATTTGTCTTCAAAAGTTGAAAATTAAATATTTCAAAACCATCGCAAAATAGCATTAGCAAATGTTAAACATGAATTAATATTTTTATCTTTAATTAATCATTTGTTTTCACTATTCAATGTTATATTTTTGTTCACGTTTATTTATTATAAATTAGGTGACAAGTTTATGTTCTTTCAATTATTGTCACAGGATGAACGGACAAAAATCGTTGAAGATATACACTCTTGCTAATCCACGTGGAGTCCATTTTTTCTGTGAGGTGTGCAATAGAAATGCTACAACAATTTGTCCTGCTTGCCGAGTAACTTACTACTGGTATCAAATATAACTGATGTTGTCAAATAGGAATGTTAATATTCATCATTAACAAAGTTATGATATAAACTTTGAATATTGCGAAACTCTTGTTTATTTAAAATTTCACAAAATTTGAAAGAAAATTTCAAAAAAGACAGAATATAATAATATTTTTTTGGGGAGCATCGATTAGAGTAGTGGCCGGTTAATTGTAAATTACCATCGAAAATTATGTAGGTATGCTAAATCAACGTATAATTAAATGCTTCTGTTTAATTGTGCTCAAACGATTAAAATTGTTCATACAAGTTTGAAATTTTCTTACATTTTTGTAATCTCGAGAATGAAATTGTAATTCTGCTTTACATTTGTCAACTCCTCAACTCCAGAACCGAATACGTAGCAAGAATCAACAATTAATGTGAAATTTATAGTGTACGTACATATCATAAATGCAATAAGAGGGTTGATTGGCTGGTCAAAATCTAATTAACTGGGAGTGCCTCCAGCTGATGCATTAAATCTTCTTCATCATTCTAAATTAAATATAAATGTCTAATATTCGGTCGAAGGCCGTTTTGCAAAAGTGGTCAATGACTTGACCAAAGTGGCCACTTGCAAAATGTTTTATTAAAAGACAGTATTGGCTGGATAACAACAAACTAATTAAATTAATATCTAATAGGATTTTTGGTCAAGAAGAAACTTTTATAGCCACAAGTTAAATATAATCGCTAGAACGATTTGTTTTGAATTCATTAAACCATCACAAAAGTTGCTATTTACGTATTATTCCGGCAGTTTTAAAATTACATTTAAACGCTCCAAATTCTTTTGCACTATTTAAACTGGTAAATTATAGCTTAATTATTTTTTCACTTCACTTTATCATTTTATGAATATTGAAGCATGGAAAAGTAATAGTATGATTTTAACATTGAAGGACACACATATTGACAGCAATATTTGATTGTTAGCGCAAACTGATTGATGATCAATTGAATGAGGTTGTAACTTTCTCTTCTCTGCACTTAGTTTTAAAATATTTAAAACAAACATCAAAATTGTACGAAGGATAGAACAAACCAGATGTCCAATTTTTTGTTCTTTTGTACAGCAAGAGTAAGTTCTAAATTAAAGACAGATTATTCTGAACCACCAAGATTTGCATTTGAAATTACTGATTTGTATTCAATAAAAAAGTTTTTTTGATATTTACAGTTCGGAAAAGCACAGGCAGGTAGATTTGGAAAGCATTCACGAAGAGGTATGCAGCTTTTTATCAATTTTAAGAAACACACCGGCCTCAAAGTTCACTATGAACAGTGACACTTCCGTAACAAGCAATTTTAAAAATACGTTACTTGTCAGTTTGTATTTTTGGAATTTGCAAAATTAATGAGTTTCAATTAATTTTCTTTTTATCATCTTGTGCGTTGTCTATTAAATTCAAAAACTATGATTTCATAGCAGGAAGAATGTTTATTGACAGAAATAGATAAACTTATAATTAATGTTTCTTTTTTATCAAACTAATACTAACATAATAAATAAATAAATAAATAAATGAATGAATAAATAAGTATATACAGATAGATCTTCATCTAAGAAGTTATTTGTTTGGTTCTGAACTTTACAGAAATGAAATAACTTTATCCTATTAAAAATATACATTCCCATTGAATTAATTTTTAGTTTCAACCAAAATTATTTTATTTTTTCAATTTCATGGAATTTTTCTTAATTTTTCACACCATATTACTCAGCGGTTATTTTTAAAAAGACGTTTTTTTTATTTACATAATTTGTATTTATTAATTTATAGAGACACCTCATTTCATTGACGACTATAAAAGCAAAAGAGTATTTGTTTGAAGAACAGTATTTAAAAGCATTGCCTGCTGCCGTGCATTCGTTACATTTCAACAATCAATTGCATGGTTCTGACAGTTTGGAAAATGTTTGCTCTCTTTTGTTAATAACTGAAGCAAAGCTTGGTAAACAATATACAGCACTTAATTCATTCATAACTAAAAATAAAAATTATTTGGATAAGGAATGGGAAATGTCGAATTAGCTCGGCAAATATTTGCCCAGGCAGAATGGATGACAAAAGGAGCGATTTCTTGTCCGGATGAAACGCTCTCTCATTTGTATCGCACTCTTGCCAAAATTAATTTCGTTTTAGGTAATTTTCCTAAAGTCAAACACTATTCCAGTAAAGACGTGAGTCGTATTTCAAACTTTTCTTTTTTATTTTCAATCCCACCCCACTTTTTGTTTAAAAAATTATGTGTAGCAATCATCATAAAGCGGTCATGCATACTCAATTGTTTTGAAATACAAAGCATTAACCTTTTTTAATTTTTCTTTGTTTGTTTATCAGAGTAACTTAATGAAAATCGTGAAATAATACATTTAACTAGATGTTTAAACTTTTTATTCTAACAAAAATAATCAGAAATTTTAAATTGAGTAAATTCAAAAATTGAAATAAGCAGAATGTTGGAAAAACTTTCTAACTTTTTGTATTTAATATCAGGCTACAAAAATTGTTTTCAATTAAATGTTCTGCATGAAATTTCAATATTAATAATGATATAAAATTAAAAAAACTTATGCAAAAATGATTTTTTATAAATATTTTTTTAGATATATTATTGTTGCAAAAAATATGGTCCAATTAGTCACCATACTGCGGGGGGTTATTTTCAACTAGGTTTGTCGTTTGAGAAGCAAGGGAAAATGGAAGTTGCTAGGTCTTTGTTCATGAAAGTAAGTCAAAAAAGATTTTATTGTTGGTTTAATCAAACTATTTAAGAAAATTATTTTATCGAGTTTAATTTTTTTGAGGTTTGTAAATACAATCCTAAAAACTAATATGAATCTACAATTGTTCATTTTAAATAAAATACCTATTATAAAAGTTTGCAATAACGCATAGCAAACCAAAAAAGGTTTTGTAAAATATTTATTGATATTAATTAAGTTTTATCAAAATAATTTTAAAATTTGGAATAATTTTAAGTCATTTCTTTTACCCAAAATCATTTCTCAAAATTTAAACCTGAAAATTAATTATTGGTTCTTATATGATGTGACACCAATGCCAATGAATAAAAAAAAGATTAACAATATATTCGGTGTTTCTTATATATGACAAGCTTAATTTAAACCTAATTGTATATTTTTCATATTACTTCTGCTAACTTTTTTTGATCTTCTGAATATGTACCCGCACATGCAAACTTTTAAATGTTGCAAGGGACGGCCTATTTTTTTCTTGTCTAAATGTTTGAACGAAAATTGAATTGGAATGCTAACAGTATTTTATACAAAACTATTTACTAAACCTTTTTTAGAGTTAAATGCTGGTATGGCAACTTTGTCAAACGCAGAACTGCTAACAGCTCACACGCTATTGCATACATATATAATTAAACTTTCGTGCCACAACGGTTTTACCTTCCACACACGACGACGTGACGTAACGTATTACACATTATGTAGATAACTAACATGCTAATTACCGCTTTTGCAGACGCCTTTTATAGCCCGAAGACTAATATATATATATATATATATATATATATATATATATATATATATATATATATATATATATATATAAACTCTTTTGAAACTGTTGGCCAAACCCGGAGGAAAAATTGCAACTGTTAGAAGCATTGTGTTTTCTGGAAGGAAGTTGACAGCAGATTGAAGTATAACAAGGGAAGAAGCACCAGCAAAAAATATAGACCATTGAAAAACCCCATTTACAAATTTCGAATGAGGACTTTTACAGCTGCGTGGTATCAATGCTAACTCATAAATATAAGTCCTGGAAATCACACAAACAATGCAAAATAAACTAAATTTATAAAAAGTATTAGCAAAATAATAACAATCTGCTACACAGATGGACAGATCATGTGACGAATGGAATGATCTGACAACCATCCCATCAGTAGCGGATTTATTATACCATGAGAAAAAGAAAAATGCGATGGGCAGGTCACGTGTTGAAGAAGTATGAAAACAGATTCTCAAAAAAATATCCAAATACAAATTGCAAAGAAAAAAATTTTGTGTAATTTTGGAACAATGTTTTAGATTACCTAAAAAAGACTGCAGAACGGTCTTGTTGAAAATTAAAATAAGCTGAAGTTTCAATCCATAAACAATACAAAAAATTTAATATTCGTGAAAAAACAGCGAAAAGTATAGGAATGTCAATCGAAAAGTGAATGGCGACCGTTAAATGTGGACAGAGAAGCAGATATAATAGTTTTTTGTTAGATTTTATTTATTTTTTAAATTTTATTATATCACAAGTTTATGATTAAGTTGAAACTGGACGCAATTTAAACTCTTGATGTTTTAATTTTTTAAATTAATTATAAACACATCATAACAAATAGGTTACAGATATTTGGATGGTCTTATTAACAAAAATGGTTATGTTGAAAATATATAGACGCATTCAACTTGATGACAACTCTGACGAAGGAACAACACTTTGCTTAAGTTATATTTTACTCAAATTAATAAGAATTTATTTTACATCTACCTTTTATATGAAATTGTAGATATTGCTGAACAAGCGGAGGCAATGCACTTGTTACATTTTATATTTTCTAACACTGGATGGAATAAAGCTGCTCATTGTCTTGCGATGCTCTCATTCATTCAAGACAAAATAAGTCTGGTATGTAATTTTTTTTGATAAATTTAAATTTTTATGACAGCAGCATAACTGTTTATCTTTATTTTAATTCTGCAAAACGATTTTGTTAATAAATTAACTATAAAAAGCGTTATAAAATCTACTATGAAAAATTTTTACTCTTACTTTCGGGGTACCTCAGGGTTCTATCCTTGGCCCTCTTCTATTTATACTCTATACTTCTGAACTACCTCGTATTATTAATAACTTTTCTTTCTCTAGTCAACTATATGCTGATGATTCTTACATTTATACTTCTTTTCCTCCATCTAATCTCAATAGTGTTCTTCATAATTTATCTCTATGTCTTTCTTCAATTATCGCTTGGTCTGACTCTATGTGTCTTAAACTTAATCCTTCTAAGTTTGAATTAATTTGTTTTAATAAATCTAAACACTCTATTACTATTCCTCCTATTATCTTACCTGATCCTAAAACTCTTGATGTCTCTCATAAGTTTCGTAGTCTAGGTTTTATCTTTGATTCTACTGTCTCTCTCTTCTCAGATTAATAGTGTTGCTAGAAGCTCTTACTTTCATCTACATAGAATGAAAAACTTTTGCCTTTTCTTGATGATCCTACTCTTCTTCTGGTTACTTCGTTAGTCTTGTTGCGGTTGGGTTTGATTATTGTAACTCGCTCTACTATGGTCTTCCTGACTCTATACTCTATCCTTTAAGTAAAGCTTTTAACTCTGCTGCTCGTCTAGTTGCTCGTGCCCCTTTCTTTTCTCATATATCTCCATATCTTGTTCTCTTGCACTGGCTACCTATAAAATATAGAATAATTTTTAAAATTTGCACGTTCATGTATAAGTCTCAATCTAAATTATTTCCTAATTATTTATCAGATATATTAATTGAACCTAAACGTTCCGGTTTACGATCGTCTTCTTTTTCTCGCTTTTTCTTAACTCGTGTTAAACACTCTTTTGCCAAATCTGCTTTTGCTTTTTCTGGTCCTTTTCTCTGGAACTCTCTACCTACTTCTCTGACTACTTCTCCATCACTTGCAAAGTTCAGAGCGGATCTCAAGACCCATCTGTTTTCAAAATTCATTGAGGAGTGCTGTTGAACATCGCGGAAATAGCGCTTTATAAGCTAATTGATTGATTGATTGATTGATTGATTGATTGATTGATTGATTGATTGAAAAACAGATAAATTGTAATATGGTGTAATATATTGTAAATGGTAAAAAAAAACTAAATTGCATGCATCAGTTCCTGAGACATATATGCTGGAAATGGATTATGTTGACTGTATTGCAGGCACAAAGCTACGGGAGGACAGCATTGCAGTCCTACAATTCAAACTTCGACGCCGATAACCCGGAATATTTGCGCACGGCATACCATTTCATGAGTCAGTACGAAGGAAGGCCTGTTAGCGTTGGCAGTTCGGACTAATAACCGTTGAATTATTTTTTTGTTTGCTTGAACTGGTGTATATAATATTTTTATAAATCCTTTAATTGATTGCCTATCCACGTTTGGTAACCAAATTGAAAATACTTTCTTACAGAATTAAATTAAATAAATAGTGGGCATATCCCTTTGTTGGAACCATAATATGAAATTTTTTTTCTTTGATGTCTTTTGTTAGCAATGAATTTAACAAACAAAATAGTTGGTTTTAATGATGTATGTGTGTCAGATCAAAGAAATCAACTGCTAGAGTGTTACATATTTTCCTGCGCTCACTTACGGTTCTGAGTCCCGGACGATTTCTAAAGAAATGGATAAAAAAATTGATGCTGCTAAGATGTGGTTTTTGAGAAGAATTATGAAAATTAGTTGAACCTCTCATACCTCCAATAAGGTTGTATTAAAACAGTCTGGTTATGAAAAGAGGAAATTACTACAAATAATTCGACGGGGCAGTTACAGAAGGAAGGAATTGAAAATCTAACGACCACTAAAAAGATTGCAGGGAGAAGAAATCGCGGTCAACAACGAATAGCATTCGTGATATTTTTGTGTCATAAGTTGAACATCACCACATTTCACCTACTACGTTGTGTTAAAGATCGGGTTTTGTGGAGGTCGATGGTCGTCAATGTCCTGAAAGGATAAGGGACGAAAAAGAAGGATAATCTTGTATTTGTTTATGGAATAACGTATATGATTATATATACATTGAGCACTGGACACTGAAGTATATATCATTCAATGATTATATATGATTAAAAAACATATATATATAGATATAATAACATGTGTATATATATTTTATATATTGAATGCGTAAAAAATTTTTTAACAAAACTAATTCTAACTTGTTCTATGTTTGAGTCCATGTATATATATATATATATATATATATATATATATATATATATATATATATATATATATAGTAAAGTATTTGCAGGAAATTTTATTCATTGCGTTTTTATTTTGTTTCTTTGCCGGAGCGCCTTTTGTTTTTTTGGTTGCCATTAGTTACGTTTGACTTTAATAAACGGATGCCGATGTTTATTTCGTCAATTTTATGTCGTCGTTGACTTGCCTTCAAATATTTTTGCCAATATTTTAATTAAATTCAATAGAAATGAGTGTTCAGTTGATTGATTCTAAAATCATTAAAGAGACCCAGGAATCGTTGGGGAAAATTATCAAGAAGCCTCCAATGACTGACAAGCTGCTCAGCAAACCCCCATTTAGATTTCTTCACGATATCGTCACTTCTGTCTGTTTATTTTTTTAATACTTATCTCTTTTAATTTAAAATGTTTTCACTGAGTTTATTTTAAAATTAGGTTATTAAGACGACTGGCTTCATGGTTGGCTTATTTACCGATGCTGAAATGAATTCAGATAATGTCAAGGTGGATAACATATTATATTATATTTTAGTATTTATAAAATATTATGTACAAATAAGCATAATGTAGTAATATATAATTCAACTTTACTGACATTTTATAGGAAAAGGATTCAAAAATAGCTTTTTTGCAAAAGGTCATTGATATTGTTTGTTAGTGATTATTATTTTTATATCTTCAATCAGTTAAATTATAGAATATGATATATTATATTGATTAAATTACAATTATTATTAGCATTGGTGAATGATACAACTATCTCAGTCAAGCCATCAAAAATAATAGCTGGCAATGATCCAGAAAAAACTAATGAATTGCTTCAATTACTAGCCAAGGCTATAAATAAAAAAGTATGTTTTGTTTCATATATCTATTGAATGTAAACAAAAGTAAACAATATAAATAATGCAAATGTTGACCTCTAACTTGCAAACCAATCTGCCATTCTTAAACTTTATTTTGCAAGAAATAACTTTATGTGAGATGTTAAAAAGTTACTGTAATATAGTTCATGCTTCACTTGTGTTAAAATAAATTCATTTCAATTACAAACAAAAAAACTGTTTGCCGAATGGATAGGCTGGCCTGGTTTATGGCTAGCTTCAGTGAATGATCCCTTTTTCATGTGAAATTTTTTGAAAATAATGATTGTTTGATCTCATGCTCCATCATTTAAAACATTTGGTCTGGCAGTAAGAATAATTTTGTTGATCAAAATTTAAGCATCTTTCTTTTGAAGAAAGAAAATTACTATTTATTGCTTTTTAGAATATAAAAAATTGTTGTATGCATACATTTCTACTTATTCCAATTTTTTAAAAATTAAAATGATACAAGCTATATACTACCTATACAAATTTAAAAAAAAATTTGCCAGTCACTTTTAGGAATGTACTCTTATTTATGTGGAAATCGAAATGTATCATCTAGTTATTCAAAATTCTGTAAAACTTATTATCTTATAATTATTCTTTCACAGAACTTCAATTATTAATTTATAAATAAATATTTTTTCTGGTGCCTGGAACTTGACAAAAATTAACAAATTTTAAATATACATAATTTGTTTGCAGGTAGACAATAACGACTACGTCAATAAACTTTTGAAAAGGAAATCAAAAAACTCTGAAAACAACACTAAGGCTGGTGTAAGTCTGTTTTATGATTTCCTACACATATTCCTTATTGCAATTGAAGTTATTTGTCCTTGTGTTCTGAGAACTCTATTACTTCTCTAGCAGATCAGTTGATATGCTTTTTAACCTAGGTTTCACAGGCAAAAGCTGAAATGTTAATAATGGGTATTAGTTATTTGCAGTCTATGAATAACAACAACAACAACAACACACGTTTAGACGACATTTTCCCCGAGATCGGGGGTTGCCGTTTGGCTACCTATAATGAAACCATTGTCACTTCTGTCATCATAAGTAATTTATTTGGCTAATTTTTACGCAGGACGCCCTTCCTTACGCAACCACAGTTATAAGCGGTGGGCCTAGCCTTTGATGATCCAACATCACTCACAAGGCAGTGAGGGTCAGTTTAATGTCATAACCAGGACATTGCAGTCTATGAATAAATAACAAAAAAAAAAAAAAAAAAAAAAAAAAAAGTTTATGAATAAATAACAAAATTACTTTGGTTGATGTCAATTTGAGATTTTATTAGAAAAACAACTTTGCTGAAGCACTAATATGTAGTCACTTTTTATTTAAAGTTCAGTAGTTTTGCTCTAAGCTGCATTTTTAGGAGATTTTGCCTTGCACCTACTAGCTTTGCTCTCAGGTTTTTTTAGTTTTTTTTTAGCTATTTCGTTGCTGTATCCTAACAAAGTCTGATTAGCATAAAAATGACTAAAGTTTTACGGGTTATAAAAAATTTAATAATTAAGGTTTTTCGAAAGTTAATAGTATGAAATTAATTATTAAAATTACCTATGGAATTTGAAACTGGTAGTGCATTGCCGCATCTCTCCAATTATACGCTCTACCGGAGAGAAGCAATGACGTCACGCGTCCAGTATAATTCATACAGGGTGAGCGTTTAAAGCGTAAAAATACAGTGAAATGACGTAATATTCTAGGTCAACGTTCAGGTCAAACGCTCCATCTCATTTACTTTATTTAATTGGATCGTAATGTCTTAGAAATATTAAATTTTTGTGAAGAAAAAGTTATAACGCTGAGTCTCACAAAACAAAATTGGTGAATTTCAAATTTTCATCATTTTTATCAATTTACCCAATAAATAATGTAGTGTTTTAACGTTGAATGTTGTTATAAAAAAAACATTTCGACAGCTTAATGAAAATCACCACAGAAGCAAAGAAAACAGAAATGATGAAAATGAAAAACATCATTCTAAAAGTAGAGATGACAAACGTTCGGTGCACAAAGAGAAAAAAAATGTTGAAATTAAGGAAAATACCAACCAGAATGAATCTCGCAGAGAAAGTTTTTCCGAAGTTGATTCATCGGACAAAAAGCATAGCATCAGCAAACACAAAAAACGAACTCGCAGTGGCGAGAGAGATAGAGAAAAAAAATCTCACAAAGAACAGGAGGAAACGAAAGATCAAGATAGAGCTGGTCATGAAAAAAGCAGACACAAAGATAAAAGAAAGCACAAATCAGAAAATGAAGCAGAACTAACTGCTCCTCAAGACACGAAGGAAAGTAGTTCAACCAGCCAGGAAATGAAGGTGAAAGATAAAAAGAGGCATAAATCAGAAAATATAACCGCGGAAAATGATAAGTTAAATGCCTCCGATTCATCGAAAAACAACAATCATGGAGGGAAGAAAAGAAATAAAACAGATGAAAATGAAAGATCTGAACATCGTCAAAAAGATATTTCTTCGGTTCAAAACAATCATGAAAGAATGGCTAACAATGTATGTTGATCTTTTCTTATGTTATTTCAATTGTATTTATTATAAAAAGATTACTGAATTTTTCTCTCATGCACCTAATTATTTAGTCGGATGATAAAAGTAAGCCTTCTTAATTAATATTTAGCTATATTTGTTTAGTTAATTTTTAAAATTTTTGTTTGTTTTCTATTTGTTAGGATTTTATTTTCAATTTAGTTAACTATATACAAATCGAAACTAAATTTTATGTTGGTTACTGTTATGAAAATTTTTCATTTAACTTGATTAACAATAAATAATCGCTGGAGACTCATATCAAATGATTTCTAGTTGAAAACACTACAAAGACCATCTTCAGCTAAAGGAACTAGGCAGAGAAAAGTTGAAGGTAAAGTAAAAATATGAGTAAATTAATCTGGTGACTTTGGAAAATGATTTTATGTGCTCGGTAATTTGAATCAGCTTATTTATTTCAAAATGTTAAATTTTTTAATCTATCATGGTTTAAAAATCTAAATATAACTGAATATAACGGTTATATCATTCCAGTATTTCTGAACCCGCAATTTAAGAAATGCTGGATGATATAACCTCTAAACAGAGTGTTAAATAAATTGATGTAACCCACCCAAATTTGATATTAAGATTTTACATTTTTAACAAACTCTCGTCAGCATTTCTCATGTCTTTTTTTTATTTTGTCATATAAGCACCAACCAAGTGTTTGGTTTCCTTTTCTTCATTCTTTTTTTATTCTCCACCAGTTACTTAAATTTCCAAAAACCAATTTTGCAAACATTTTTAGACATGTGAAAATTTTACGAATTTTAGATAATTTTAAAGTAGTTAAGAAAGAGAACGTTTCGATAAATAAAAAGATTCAACACAGAAATTTAATTTTTAAATTATTCATTTTAAACTAAGTTTTTTTTATTCCAAATTTCACTCGAACAAAAAAATTCAGGAGATTTTAAGATAAGTGTTTGTTTTATCGTGATAAACCGATAAAAATATATTTTGTTTCATGAACAAATCCGCTTTTAATATTCAATTGTTAAAACTTGACAGTAACAGCAAAACATTTATTCAATTAAACATCAAAGCTATAATCACCATAATATATTTTTAGTAATCAGTTGAAGGTTTGAAATTTGCTAGATGGTGTTTTAACAGATTGAGAGCCATTTTATTTTGTGTTAATGCACGAAATTGCAATAGAATTTTCAAGGAGACAAAATTATTTCATTTTTTCAAAAAGTTATTTTATTTCAATTTTTAACACTTTTTTTTAATTTATTTTGCTCATATATAAGTTTTTAACTTTTTGTTTTTTTTTGTTTTTTGTTAATACGTTTGTAAAATTATTATTGCTATTAATTATCAATTTAATATCAATTTAATTTTAAATTTTAATTGAATTTTTCATTTGAAAAGAAACACCAGAAAATCGATCAAGGTAGTTAGTTTATTTTTTATCATTTAAATTTTTTGTTCATTGATTTCCGTCTCAAATTGGATGATTGTATGGGCTTGTGATCGGACGGGACGTTTTAAAATTGTATTCCTAACCTTTTAGCAAATTGGATAAATTTTTTAATTATTTTGAACATTTTTTGGCATTCAATGCAATTTTTCATTAACTTTTTTTAATGAGAAACGCCATCATGTACTCTTGCATTATTGCAGACTATTTACATAGCCGTTCATGCATTTTTTGTTACAGATTATATACATATTGCGTTTGCTTTTATGTATTTTAATATTTTTATTCAGTTATATTTATTTGTAGAAAGTGAACTTTGGCTATTAAGTGAGGTACTGATTGATGCAATGAATTAAATACTTGATTACTTTATTCAATGCAAATGTATAACATTTTGCCAAGGTTTTGCGCCTTAACGTGATTTAGTTATTTATTTTATTTTAAATATCGGTTCGATCAATTGATACTTGAGGCAGTTGAATATTTGTGCATATCGCTTAACAAATTTGTCTACAAAGTTCTGCATATTCAATCTTTGTATAAAAGTCATCATTTGATCGCTTGTGCGCATTGTGGGACACCATTTATACACTTCTCTTGAATAATGCATTCGCGAGGGACACAGGCTTTTGTCAATTTAGGTTATTTTCATAATGACTTTTGTTTTTGTTTGGAAATTTTGCGATGCCAACTTGAATCAGTTTCATCATCAATTTCGTTCTTCTGTTTTCAGCACAAAAGAGACTATGATCGCTGCAGAAACTTAACTTATTGTGTTCCAACAATCTTTTGACCTAATAGCCGTTACAAAAGTCAATTTCGTTAATTTGTTTTACCGGTATAACTTAATTCAAATAATAAATCAAATTAGAAAAAGAAATAGAAAATAAATCTTTTTTTTACCCTGAAAATTTTGTTATGTTTCTAGGTTGACTAGACCAAACAGTGCGCGACCCGGCCCACCGAAACTGAGATCAAGCGAGCCAACCAATGAAGACATCGGCACAGTGTATGTTTATAAAACTTTTACTTTTATGTTCATTAAAGTTAATCAAATTGAGTTAGTTGTGGAACGCTTATGATATATGATTAAACAGGCCAAATCTTATTGTCGACAAACGTCGTGGTTCGGATAACGATGATGACGATGATGATGACTTCATAACAAACGACAACGACTCTGTTTGGAATCAACAAAATAAAAGTGATTTTCAAAATGAAAAAATTGACGAAAGTAGCAAGGATCACGGTAAACGTTCATTTTATTATAGTCTAAAATTGATATGTTTAAAAAAAACTTTTTGAAACAATCAAGGAATTTTGGTGAAGAAAATCATGGAAACGAAAAAGGAATTGGAAGTAAATGCTAATATGAACGAAAAATCAGAGAATGTTAGCATTTTCTTATATTTTCTCATAAATTTTATGTAATTTGTTTTAGTTTTTGGTTTATTGATCATTTTTTATTTCTAGCAAAAAGTTGCGAAGTTTAATAATCGGTGTCGGATTCGCAAAAGTTTTTAATAGGGAAGTTTGATTAATCAATCAATCGATTTTTTAAAGCGCCATTACCGCGATGTTTAACAGTTCTCTTCAATGAATTTTACAAGCAGATTGTTTTTGAAATTCGTTCTGAGAAGAAGGTAGAGAGTTGCAGAAAAATTAAAAGTCAAGGTCGTTGAAAAAATCCAACTCTGATTCCCGAACAATGTTTGACTTTACTATAAAAAAAAGTTAATGTAAATATAAATATATTATTCATTTGACTTTGTATTGTTGAATGTATATAGCGCTTTCATGGGTTAATCTTTGCTGTGGTTAGTTGAACAAATGGTCTTTTGGGCGTTTTTGGAGTCACCTCCTTTGATGATTGCAAAGAGATAAAAGAACTAAAACGTGAACCTTTATTTATGTATTTGTCAACTTATGACGCTTTTTGAAAAATTAAGCTCTCTAAAATTATAGAGTGGAAGAACAGTTGATGTAAACATGTATTATTTGTATGTATAACGTCTAAGATGGCAGTAGGTACGAAGAAACAAGAAGGTTAAAGATGTGGCTAAAATTTGGGACATCGGTGGCTGCCTTCCTTTTGTTTATTTTGTCATTTCCACACTTCTCTTCGGTGTTATCACCGGCTTGGCAAAAAGATTTTATGAAAATTTGTTAAATACCGAATACAAAGAGCCGACCATAGACCTTTGGACGCCCGCGTGCAAATTAAAATTGGCCGTTTATTTTCACTAATTTTATGCTCCAAATTTTCAAATGATTTTCCGCCATTTCATAGAAAAATTATCTGCCCTTTTTCTGTTGCACTGTAAATGTACGTTAATAACGAAGATAAATAGCATGGGGCATAAAGAAAAAAACTTCGAACACGGGCTAAAAACTCCACTTTTAGAGTATTTAAATGGCATTTCCTTTCAAGTGAATAAACTAGCTTATCTTTATGTTATAAATTGTTGTTACCTCATTTTTTAAAGTTGAATTTAATTGAGCTATGGTATATTTCAAAGCCATGATTTCGTCCGAAAAAAAATCTTAATATACGGAAAAAAGTCGTTAACATGCCTTGGCTGACATGAATGTTTTGGTATGTGTTAAAGGCCTGATATTTCTTGGCTTGATGAATTTAAATTTAAATAGTTTTTTATTAACATGAAAATGTAGTTAGGAGATAAATTACTTTAAAAATTAACAGGAAATTAGAATAATGTATTATTTTGGCATTCTTGAAATTTTTCGATTTTATTACAAGTTCGTCATTCAATCATGATTAAAGTTTACACTTTAAACTTTAGAAACAGGATTTTATTGAAACGCCTCATAAAAAAGATCGTGATCTGATGACGAAAGATATTGATAAAATTCAAACCCTCATGCAATCATCTACAAGAAACATCAATCCGCTAGGCAAAACGCTCGATTTTTTGCAAGAAGATATGGATTCAATGTTGAAAGAATTAAACAATTGGAAAGAAGAATGCAAAAAACATCGACAGGAATTTTTATCAGAACAGAGGTAATTTATAGCAATATTTTCCATTGCAGAGTTTTTTGTGTTAATGAAAATATAATTTTTCATAATATAAATAATTGCCACAGCATTTCAATAGCTTCACTGGAACCACTGAAATCTCAATTAAAAGAAGTTAATGCCAGTATCTTTCAACAACTTGATTTAATTGCTACTGTCAAGAACAATATTCTAGAAAACGATAAAAAAATATCACAAATACTGACATCTATAATAAAAAATTAATTTGTTTTAGTAATTATATTTACATGGTTTTGAAAATTAGCTACATATTTGCTCATTCCTTAATAATTATTTTCTTACGGGACTTGCAAATTTTTCAATCAAATTTTTTCCAACATTTAAAATGATTGTTCTAATATTGACAACAATCTATTGAAATAAAAGTTTCAAAATTATCATCAATAGTTTTATAAACATAATTTGAATTAGAATGCCGCCGATCTAAAATTTAGAATGAAATATATGACCGTGGAATATTACTGAAAGAATTGAGGTATGGTTCTTAAACTTAACTTTGACTGGAAACGCTTGCGCCTTCCGTATCTAAGAGTGTTTATAGTTATTTATTTATTTAGAATATTTATACTCTAAGTATTCTAAGTATATGAACCATCCATATTAATTTGTTTCTACAGGAAACTTTAAACTAGGATGTGAATATTGATTGCGGTAACTAAATTTCACGTAGGTACTAATTTATTCTTGTACTAAAAATTCATGCTAGTTTAACATTGAACTATATCGGTGTATGTAAATTACGCGCAATTAAGATTCATCAAAATTTGAATTATTAGTAAATATAACGTTCGGGTAGTTATCGCTCTTGATGTAGAGATTTTTATGAACGAATATTTCTGAAATAAATTCAAAAAGATAAAATACTCAAAACGCGCTGCTATTTTTGCTAAATTTAGTAACCCGCCGGGAGGTAATTTTTTCTATTATTAATTAATTAATTAATAATAAGTATTAAGTATACCATTTTAAGTGCATAGTGGTCATTACATAAATAGAATATGGTCCTACATAACAAATATAATTACAAGTTTTTGTATGTTTAATTCTAAACCTGCGATTCGAACATTCCTGTCGACCTGTTGGTGTTTATGTTTAGCACACCTGTACTATATGTTTATTTATATTATATTATATTATATTGTTACCACTTTTCCGATCTGTGTTGTTGTTTGATAGGTAATCCATTTAGTTAATTATTTAAAAGTAATGTTTTTTCAATATTTTATTTGAAATGTTTTATTTGTAAATTTTCATATTGTATTTCTATTTGAATTATATTTGAATTTTTAAGATAAGTGTTTGTTTATTTTATGATGCCGTTTTTTTTTATTTTTATTTATTTTATTATTTAGTTAGCAATTATTAAAATATTGAATTAATGCTTATGATGCTCTTTTTATTTTATTATTATTGATTATACTTTATAAATATTATATATAGTCAATAAAAAATACAATTGAAAGACTACTACACTCTATACTAGGGATAGAGCAATAGGAATAGATAGACTACTATAGAATAGATAGATAGGACTGTAACTATACTAAAAACTAAACTAACTAAATGGGTAAATGTACAGTACACAGATATCTGATATAACATACTATAAACTATATTATACATAATATGATATATGTATTTGTATAAGTAGGTTGTATAGGTGAGCTTCTTTTCTTTTAGCTTTTTCTTCTAACTCCTACTGTTACTTCTCGTTTTATAAATCGTAATCCTAGTATAATGATAATCAAAATCTAATAATAGTAATAATCTATATTTAATTTGTTCACAAGCCTAGCTTTAACTCTCATACTAAATGCTGCTATGGTAATTTAGTTAATTTTTGTAAGGAAATAATTGAATAATATATATTTTTATAAACTAATTTTTTATTTGAGATTGTTACTTAATTTCAGTTTTATTTCATGTTTTTCATAAAATGTTTTATTTTTAATTTCGTATCTATAGTATTCTTTATTAATTTTTTATGTTACAAAATTGATCATAAATAGATGATTGAATAAATAAAAAATATTATTATTTTTTAATTTTTAAGGTAGATAAATATATGTAAAAAATGGGAGTTACTAATACAATCAAAGATTATGGTACAGAGCTGTTAAATGCAGTGAAAGACAATGATTTAAAAACATTTAAAACAATCTGTGAAAAATGTTTAAAATATGATAGCCAGATTGCACAACTTTGCATATTAGATATAAAACATCGAACATTGAAATCATATGCTTGCCCTTTAATTCTGGCAGCAAGACTAGAAGATCCATCAATTATAAAGTTTGTGTTTTTTTTTATTTATTTATGTTTTATTTCTTGATGAATTTAGCTACTCATCATTCACCTTTTTTAGTCTTTAGGATTTTTTGATGAAGATATTTTCAAAAATATAAATTTTGATCGCACAGTAAACAGTTGATATTTACAGATTTTGCTGTTTGATCTATTTTATTACTGTTGGTTTTATTTGATGTTTTTCCAAAAGTACTTTTCCAAAAAACTTTTTCCCATTTACTCAAATGGTTGTTTTACTTTTTCTGTTTTTTTTTCTTCACTAAAAAAATGGGGCAAGTGATTTTATAATATTATTTGCTGTAAGCATTTGTCAGTGTCTACTTTATTCACGTTGATAGGCTTTCTGTTCTGTCCAGGTCTTGCATCCATACAAAAATGTAGATAGCTCTCAACTGTCTTTTGTACATACAAAACAATATTGTTGGTACTTATGGTGGTCGTCGTCTGTTCAGTTTTTCAAATGCCGCACGCACACACACACACACACATGATACACAACACACAAAAACATATGCACACACACACACATATTGTTTTTTTTTATATTTTCAACGCTATAACATTACGGTATCCAATCTGTATTCAAGGATTTGTGGAGCGCCCCTATCGAATAACCTGAGAAGCGCAATGAGCTTATTGTTATTGTTACAGTATATATATTGTTAGTATGCGGTATGATTTGGAAAGAAATAACGCAGGTGTCAAGAACAATGACCTGGTCTGGTTCTAGATACGGCGCAGATAAAGGCGATGCTCTGCGAAACTCACAAGAAATTGGAAAGATCGTTACAAGATCACCAACAGGATAAATGACGTGATCTACAGGACCTATGATCCTGGAAAGAAATGGACAAAGATGAAAGTTTTCCATTTGAATAGTTAGCCTACTATTCATCAGAATAAGGAAATAACGCCTATGTTGGAGACTAACAGGCTAAGATGGAGTGATGTTATAACCGCGGGAATGATCGAATTGTGGCGTGTTATTTCTTGTTTGACTATTGTCATCTTTGCAATATTTTTAATCTTTTGGTTATAAAATCGGCTATAGTAATAGTATAGTCTTATGTAGTGAGGTCCAGCAGTCGTGGTTTACAAGAAGGTTTACAAGTCAGGTTTCGAGCAGAAGAAGCGAAGTCGTAAATGTGATTTATGTGCTTTATTGTTTCTATTACTGCTGATATTCAAATAAACGTTCAACAACGTTTGCGTTTGAAGCAGTTGTGTTCATCTATCGGAAATCTTGAACCTACGGATAAACGAACTCTTGACGATAGTTGGAATCTACAATACTGATGTTGAAAATAGAGATCATTGAAATTATAACATTGGTGCTGATAGTTACAGGGTCAATGATTTACAACAATATTTATATATATTTTTTTAAAAATATCACTGCATTTTCAGCTTTTTAACTACGTTTTTATTCATTTTTGTCTTATACATAAGAAACTTTTTTCAGTAATCTCAATCCTAATTATATATATATATATATATATGTGTGTGTGTGTGTATGTGTGTATGTGTGTATGTGTGTGTTTGTTGGACGGAGACCATATTTTATACAGTATTATATGAATTCTACCGAATTGCTGGCATTAATCAACTAGCCAATCAAACTAAACCAAACCTTCACTAAAGATGATTTATGAAAAATCGAAATAAGGCCTTATCTGCATGATGGTTTTGGATAACAACAGTTTCATTAAATTTTCATGATGAACTTGGATAATAATTCTATTTTCAAAAAATTTAACCATTTCCAGAAAACTCTAGTCAGGAAAAGTGAAAAGACAAACTTTAATTTAATTTATGCCAACATATCAGTAGAATTCATACAATACTTTATAATATATGGTCTTTTTCTTATATAAACGTCAATGTATATATATTTATATATGACCGACTGGAACATATATATATATATTCTATGCTCCACCAGCCAGAATTAAAGTACTCTGCATGAGTTTGAAACACACCGGCCCAGGAATATGGGAGACGATTCCACAAGAAATTAAAGATTGTAACACTTTGCATCTTTTTAAAAATAAACTGAAAAATTTTTTAATTACGAAAAGTTCTGTTTTTCAAGGATAATAATGTATATGTATATATATGTATATAAGTGTGTACATATTTCATTAACATTGATACATTTTCTCCTATTGACAATTTTATTTTATCATTGAGAAGCAATTTTGAGCTGCACGGTGGCCGAGCCCACAAGAATTAATTTTCTTTTTTTGGTCTCCGAATCATTCATGCTTTTGTTTTGTTTGATTGAATAAAAAAGTGATTGATGATATATATATATATATATATATATATATATATATATATATATATATATATATATTTATATACACATGTTCCTCCTTATCTCATATATTTATTAACAATTATTAGTGAAAAACTAACTTTTTTGTATCCAATTTTTTACAAAACATTTCTGACTACGCCACAGATTTTTGATTGACGTTTTTTTTATCAAGTGATATAAATTTCACCTGATAAAATTTGCAGGTACATGCTAAGTGTTGGAGCAAATCCAAATTTTGTTCACCATGCTGTTTCTAGTTTTGGACAACGCGAATCAGTTGCCCCATTACACATTTCTGTAGATCTGGGTTTTATAGATACCATTGAAGCACTCATCTATCACAACGCTGACCCAAATACTGTCAACAGCAATGGCGAAACACCTATTCTTATTGCAACAAAAAGATCGAATTGGACAGCTTTAAGAATGTTGTTAGCGAAAGGAGGAAATCCTAACTTAACTGATAGATTTGGAAATGCTGCTTTACATATTGCCTCTTTGTATGGACATTTACAAATGGTAACAAATTATTTATAATATATGAATTTGAGAACTTATGAACCAAATTGATATTTGATAGCTTAATTGGTTAGATTTCTCAACTCACTGTTAGATTTTTAATTTTGGTGAATTTAATTGAATTGTGTCATTATTTTAGTATTGTTTGCACATTCAAAATAATTGAAGCAGCGGACTTATAATTCAAGTTCAATTTTTTTCAAAATATCTTGAAATAAAAAATTCACCGTTTTCATTCAAAAATCAATAGCATTTTTTTTTATTTTTAGAGCATTGCTATTGGTTATGAGAACACGTTGTTCCATCTCTGAAATTCGTGTTCTTTTAATTTATTGAAAGGGTTTTTATTCATAAGCAACATAGAGAAGATTAAATTAAAACATTTTCTGTTCCACTTTTTGCTTTAATTATGTTATTGTTTACGTAATTAATTAATTACTATTGATTTAGATTACACAATTTACTAAGTGAATACACAATATAAAGAAAAAATTTCATAAATTAAATGGGATCTAAACTAAACCGCTAAAGTACTCTTCACTAAATTTATATAAATACATAGACTTTTTAATTAAAGAATTTCCACTCCATGGTATAGATAAACTTTGACCGGGAAGCTTCACTGATGTTAATTGTTAATAAATATAACCCATTTTGAGCTTTAATTTTGTAATTTAACCTCTCTACTTTATGTATCGTATTAGGCTGGTTCTAGACTAGTGTCGGTTACGTACCGTCCACTATGAATGTAATAATTTTGCTTCTTATATATATATATATATATATATATATATATATATTTCAAAAATTCAACACTACTTTCAACATTGTTCAACTTTTTCATATTTTTTTTTAATTTATTAATTACCGAGAAATTAGACATTTTATTGTTTTTTTAAAAAATTTTTATTAAATAAATTTGCAAATAGCTATTTCGAGTTATAAATAACTCATCTTCAGTGCATTATATATAAGGTATGTAAGATATTTGATATAAAGGAACAACTAATTATTAATTTATATAAATTATTTAATTAAAACAGAAAAACCAATAAAGTAAATTTAATAACTATAAACAATATAAAACGCGATTGTAAGTCATTTAGCAACTCAAGAGAACTGCTTGTACCCTCACAGGCTTTTCGAATTAGAAGAATTAGATTAGCCTTTGTTCTTCTTGTTAGTTTTTGTGGCCTGCCAGTACTTTTTTTGGTTCCATAAGTCAATGGATTTTTTAAAAAATTAAAAACAACTGTTTTAGAAACGTTTAATGATTTTGAAATTTTTCCCAGACTATATTTTTTTGGATCTTAATGTCAAAATTTGAATTGTTTGGTTCCTGTTTAACTTTTCCCTTTGCCCATAATGAAAAACAATTTTAATCAATTTCAAATCAGTCTAAAACGCGCTTAATGCAAACAAAACAACGTTTGGTGAGATTTAATGTTTATACTATTTTAAAAGTGCTGCTTTAAACTTAAAAATAAAATCGTTCCTATCATTTTGACCTGTTGTAAAATCGTATTTTTTGAATAATCTGAATTAATATTTTTTTAAAACAATAATTTTTTTATGTTTCATTGTTTGTTTAAATGTTGAAAATTAGGGGTAAAAATTTTAATTAATTCGGCACAATGGTTTTGAAGAAAATGGATTATACCAACCGTTCCTATCATTTTGAGCCGCACTGTGTATGTATGTATGTGTGTATATATATATATATATATATATATATATATATATATATATATATATATATTATTAGATTATTTATATATAAACCACCCTTTATTATTCTCAAAGGTGCTAACAATGTAAAAGTTGATTAAATGTGCTAATGCAAAAGTTGATTAAATGTTTCACTTCAATCAAATCATATCATGAAAAGTTTGTCTAAAAAGATGGTTCTTTAGCTTTCTTCGAAATTCAGTAATTGACAACCGACAATTTCGCAAGTCAACTGGCAAACTGTTCCAAATCTTCGGTCCCATAACAGCGAAATCTCTGCAACCAACAGCAAGCTGAGTTTGACGAATTGTTAACAAATCTAAATCGTTTGACGTAACTTCTGACACTGTAACGGTGCATTTCTTGGAACAATTCTATCCATTAAATATTTCGGCGCTAATCTATTAATGCTTTTGTACACCAGTAGGGCAATTTTAAAAATAATTCTTTGTTGAACGGGCAACCGCAAACAATGAAGATTGAAGAGAATAGGAGTAACATGATCAAAATATGAACCACCAGTTAACAACTTGGCAGCCCGATTTTGAATTAATTGTAACTGTGCAACATACTTTTTGGGTAAACCGTAGAATAAACTGTTGCAATAATCGATCCTCGAGTGAATGAACGAGTGAATTAAACATTGCAATGTATGCATATTTAGAGATCCTTTGATGAGTCTCAATTTTCTCAATTGGTAAGTACATTCTTTAAACAACAATTTTATGTGCAATTGCATTGTCATGTTTGTATCAAAAATAAATCCAAGATTTCGTGCTGACGCACAAAATTCGATGACAGATTCCTTTATTCTGATAGTGTTGATACCCACTCTATCCACTCTACTTGTTGCTATGTACCCACAGGCAAAAACTGGGTCTTGCATTGGTTTAACTTTAATCTGTGCCTCATCATCCAAACATCAATGGCTGATAAACACGATACTAAATCATCGACCACATCACCAAACGACGAGGGAGAGGAGTTGGCTATTATTTGGATGTCGTCGGCAAATGCATGAAACCTGAAATTGTACGACTCAATTATTGTGTAAACATCTGCTGTATAAAGCAAGAAGAGAATGGGACCTAAGACGGAACCCTGTGGTACACCGTACGACAAATCATCGACAGCTGCCAAATTTGTTTTGAATAAAATTTGTTGAGTGCGACCAGCAAGGTACGACACGAACCACTTGTGAACGACTCCCGATAGTCCAAATGTTTGCTTCAGTTTTTTGAGAAGTATTGCATGATCGACGCAATCGAACGCCGAGCTCATGTCCAAGAGAGCAAGCAATGACACATTTTGTTCGTCCATTGATGAATACAACCTTGACGAAACATCAATTAGAGCTGTTTCTGTCGAGTGAAACACACGATAACCCGACTGGTGAACCGGCAGAAGATTATGAATTTTCAAATGAGAAGCAAATTGAGATAAAACGATTTTTTCAACCAACTTTGACAAATACATAAGGTTAGATACAGGTCGGTAATTTTTTAACTCATGTCTATCAAGAGAATTCTTCTTAAAAATCGGTGTGACAACAGCATTTTTAAACGCAGATGGAAATGAGTCAGAACTTAAACACGAATTTATGAAAAACGTTAAAAACGGTAAAAACAAATCAACAAATCTTTTAAGAATCTTTGTGGGCACACAATCAAGAAAACAAGATTTTGATGGAGACTCTAAAATGACTCTTTTTTATGTAGCAGTCAGTACAGGGCGAGAAGTTTGAAAAAAAAGATTCTTCATCAAGATCACATGGAGTGAATGTTGGTTCATCACAATGATTGGTTAAATTACCAACATCATCAATTTTGCTTTTGAAAAACTTGGAAAAGTCAAGAGAACTATGATCAACTTCTGATACATCCATTACCTGTTCCATTCCAAGCAAACCGTTAACGGCATTTTAAAGACGTTTTGGTTTGTTGCTATTTGATTCCACCAAGTCTTTCCAATAACAATTTTTCTTTTTGACAAACAAGCAGTATTTATCTTTAATAGCTTGTCTCCAGATATTCTTATTTTTATCACTTGGGTTGTTTTGATAAACCTGTTCTAATCTGCGACATAGCCTTTTCAAATCCCTGCACTCTCCGTCGAACCAAGGGGCTAATGGCACATGTTCAGAGTTGACATAGTGTAGTGGAGCCACTTCATCAACAACCCTCCTCATCTCACGATCAAACAACACAAATGCATCATCCACGTCATCACTTTCAAACGGACCACTGATTGTAGAGTTTAAAATTAGTGATTTAAAACGATGTGTATCCAAACGGTTCCAAGAGCGTACCAACCGCCTTGTTGTCAATGGTAGCCTGACACTGACCGAGAATGAAACATTAATCAGACCATGATCTGGATAAACACCACTGGGATCCACTCTACAATTAGACAAAGGAATATCAGGAGTGGACGCAACTAAATCAAGTGTGCCACCCAAGTTATGGGTAGGCTCATTAACCACGTTTGTTAACTGAAGCGAATCAAATATCTCAAGCAAATTAATTGAGTGTGTATCACCAGGCCTTTCAATATGGATGTTAAAATTCCCAGCCACTATCAAACCATTACCCAATGCAAATAAATGTTCCAACACCGATGTTAGCTCACCAAAAAAAAAAAACAAAGATGTGACCAATTTTGAACCTGGTCTGTAAATACCAAAAACAAAAACTTGGCGACGCTCAAAAGAAAATTCAACTATAATAGCCTCGAATGTCTGAAAAACCGGAACTTCAATTTTCCTGGCCTTGAACATCTTCTTGAAAAAAACAATAAGACCACCATGGTAAGGATCATGAGGCTTCAACACTTGCAAGAAACTAAAACCTGGCGGCATGACTAACTGAATAGACGGATCTTCAGGAGAACCATGCCACGTTTCACACAAAAGGAAAATGTCTAATCCACCAGATAACAATTGATAAACAACATTAAACTTTGCTATAACAGACCTTATATTAAGATGACCAAAATTTAATACTAGATGATTGCAGTTTTTTGAAGCTTTACTATTTTCCAGCGTCCCACTTGGCCCTTCACTCTGAATAAAAAATGACTATCATTAGCTTCTTTAGTTTTAGTTTCAGCAATCAATTCTCGCAGCTCAACGCGCTGATCACGTGTTAGATCATGACTGATTTTGATTTTGTTGAATTCACCCTCAAGAGACTTAATTTTCGAAATACTACGCATGACTCTGTTTTTGATGACAAAACTGGCAAATTTAACAATAACTGGACGTGGAGTTTTGGAATCATCAATTTTCCTCCCTTGTCTGGTGACTTAAAATATCATCATCCTTGATAGAGTTATCAGTGAAAGAGCGCAAAATAGCAGAAACTGAATCATTGTCTTTTCTATTAGATTCAATTAAGTTGAAAATAATGACATTGTTTTCTCTCTCTCTTTGATAGTATTCACCACTTCGAGGGTACGCTGCACAACCTTGACGTCATTTTCAACCGCATCGATACCCTGTTTGACTATACCAGCTCAAGATTCATTCATCTACTGCTTGAAATTGTCAAATGATTTATCGAGCGTATTGTCGACGCTGTTGATCTGGTTCAACCTATCACCATTTGCCACTACCAATTGTTTTAGTTCGCAAAAATCTTTACATAACGCGGTTGTATGTTCGGAAATCTTTTTAATTTCCAATTCTATTTTATCATTTTTATCCAGAATTGGTTTGGTCAATGTTTTCAAACCATCAAAAGACCTGAGGCAACCATCGCAAATGTATCTGAGATTTCTACAGTTGTTCAAAAACAGCATGTAACGCTATTAACACCAACTTTGATGCCTTTAGTAGTCGAACGTGTATCTTTAGACATAATGCTTCACAGGCAAACAGTAAAAATAATAAACCAAACTATCTATAATATTTTGCAGCAAAACAAAATATCCATGCACAGGTGTCAAGGTGATTTTTTTAAAAAACGGAAAACAGAAATTATAACAATGTTTAAATTACTTATTCCAAAATTAAATTCAACAAAACAAAACAAACAATATTTCAATTCTTTAAATTAAATGAAGCGAATATATATACATTTATTAACTAATAAACGTAATTAATCATAAGAATTTCTACAAAGTTTTAAGCACCAAAATCAACGTGCAACGCAAAAATATTGACATGTATGTATATTCAATTTTAGTTTGGAAATGATCTATTTGCGGTAAAAAATCAATAAAAGAAAAATATTAATGATAATTGTTGCTATAGGTTAAGTTACTATTGAAGCATGGAGCTGAATTGAACCAGAAAGGAAATATGGGGGCCACACCTCCTTACATCGCAGCTAGGGAAGGACATGTTCATTTAGTTCAGGTTTATTATTAATTTATTAATAATTATTTTTCAGGCTTTTTAGTCGATAAATTGTAACCATGTTAATAATTATAGGCTTTTTGCTCTAAGGACATTAGACTAATAAACATTAAAATTCCATGCTTAACTGACAAAAAAGAGAAGGGCATAATTCATATTGCGTCTGAACATGGACATGTGGAAACGGTATTAGCATTAGTTGATCAATTTAAAGCTGACATTAATTTGAAGGATTCTGACGGTAATACGCCTTTGCATTGCATTGTTTTGCACAACTATCATTCTCATAAAATGAGGGATAAAGATTATTTTTATGCTACTGCTAAAGTTTTAGTCAAATACAAAGCATCCATAAATGAAAAAAATGTAAACGGAGAAACGGCTTTGCATCTTGCTTCTGCTCACAGTCATCCAAAAATAGTCGAATTGCTTTTAACGGTAGGGGCAAATCCGTTTGTTGAAAATAATAATCGAATGAAACCAATCGATTTTGTTTTAGAAACTGATTTAATTTCTAAACAACTTCTGAAAACGGCCATGTTGAATCCAAAACCGCCAACAAATGTATCATCATTAAGTTTATTTCAAAACTCTTTTTACGGTGACTTACCGATGAAGATGTTGCAAACATCGGCGAATTTGTCAAATACAAATGCTTTCAAGCATTTGTCAATGAACGATAGCTCAAGAGTACATAGAGGCTTCAATCATAGTGTCGATTATTCTGTGAATTCCGGTAATTCAGCTATCGTAATGCACAAGTTAAAGAACGGAAACCTTATTGTGTCACCTCTTCCCTCTAATAAAATGTATACCAAAGAAAGAAATATTTTAGATAAAAGCTCTGAGAAATATAATGGTCATACAAACCATACTAAACACTTTTCAAGAAATTATAGACATCGAAGAAGTAGTATAGATAAATTCAGTAGTTTGTCTGATGCTACGTTCAATCCGATCAGTACTTCAGAGAAGCAGATAGCCAAAAATTATTCAAGTGATGAAAGTTTTAATTATGATAGACGAACGGGTAAACCTTACAAAAGACACCAAAGTTCTGGTGCAAGGCATTCAAAAAAATCTTCAAAAGCAAAATACAGACAACAATTTTATTCGAGTGATGAATACATTAGTGAAATCGATCAATATGAAAAACGAAAAAAGAGACATGCTAGGAATAACAAATATTCTAACGTATATAAAGATAACATGAACAAGCATGGCGTCAGGGTACATACAATACCTGGCAAACTAAGTACTGTTGAGGTTGAATATGACAAAGGTCCAGTAACTATTGAAATAGAAAAACAGGAACCAATACCAAGTGAAACTCATCACGCTAAAAATATGTTGGCTAAAAAAACTGATAAACCAAATGAATTCAATAAAATTAAAGCTAGCCGACATAGAAAGCCTTCCAGAGAACCAAAACTTGAAGAAAATACGAAAGATATTATATCAGATTGGTGTGAAACTATGAAATCTTACAACGAACTCAACAAAAAAGCAAATGATGATAGATATGATTCTGATGAGGTTTTCATGGGAAAAGAATATGAAGAGAGTAGTATAAATTCCTCTCCTGATACTTATTTACAAAATAAGAAACTAACTAAAAAAACAAATAAGAAAAAGAAAGAGTTGTCGAAGCAACACATCTATGACGAACAGATACAAATGGAAAAAATGCCTATTATTGATCCCGAACCTGAATACAAGAGTATAAAAGTTGAAACTGAAGATGATGATTCTTCAATCAGCAGTAGTACAAGTTTGGAAGAAGGAATTACTGACACCCAAAAAATTTTAAATGAATCGGCTTCTAAAAAGATTTCTGAAATAATGAATAATATAAAAACATTTTGGTCTGAAGATGAATTGAGTCATGCTCACGAAGATAAATTATCCCGTAAAAATTTTAACACTAAAAATAATAATCAAATAACTGTTAAATCAATGCAAAAGGAAACATCAGACTTTAGTAACAACTCAGTTTTATTTTCATCTAGTTTAATTGAAAAATGGAACGATAGCACAATCAGATTGAAAACAATAATGCCTGACACCGATTCAACAAATGATGGTTTGCGAAATACTTCTGAATTTAATAATTATGAAAACACTTATGAAGACAAAAAAATTAATGATTTGATTATTAGAGTTTCCGGAGAAGCCCCGAAAGCTTTTTCAAAAAAAGATATGTCTTCTGCTAGAAGTCTCTTTATGCAAGCTAAGCCGATAAGAATTGAAAGTAGCAGTGAAGCTTCAGACTCTGAATTATATATTTCAAAATCTAGTTTTCAAGAGTTTGATGTTGCTAGTTTGAAAAGAAGAACAGATTGGAGTAAACCATTGGTTCCGTATCAAAAAAGTGTACCTTCTACAAACAAAAAACGGTTTACAAAATACGAAATGATTTCAAGCTATGAAATTAATAAACCAGTTCATGGACCAAAACCTTATAAATCTTTTGGCAACATAAAAACAAAAACCGATGCTCTAGAAGAAGCTTTAAATGACACTAGTTCAGGTATCTTATTTTTTTTCTATTCATCTGTTTTCAAGCTATTTAAATCTTTTTTTAATTTGATGTTAAATTAGTAACTTTTTTTTACATAATTTACAGCATCGACAATCATCCCGGATCGATATAAAATCAAATTGGCCGTAGATGAAAAACAAACGGAATCTAGCGAAAATGATTCACCAACAACATCTAATCCAAATAATGATGGTAATGATTCGTCCATTCGTAGAGATCGGAAGAAAAATTTACGTGATAACTCACTAGAAGTTTATTCTGAAGAGCCTCACTTTAAACGGAAAAACATTGTTAAAGATTCTTTAGAAAACAGTAATTTTAATTCAGATGGTGATGAGATTAGTAGAAGTATTGTAAAGAAAAAGAAAAATAAATATAAAATGCCGATAAAAAAAAATTTCATTTTGCCGAAAGGTTTTTCACCTGAAGTGTGGGAGGAAGCATGTAATGATACTCCTTTAGCTTCTTCTGACACGTTCTTAGATGTTCCAACAGATGACTACTATAAGAAAGAAAACAGAGGTAGTTTTGATAACGTCAATTTAGATGGAAACACTGACACAAGTAAACTCGAATTAGATTTAGAAAGTTTAGGATTAGATTTATGCATTCCAGTAGCGCAGTCTCCCGACAGTTCATTCAATGAAAAAGAATTAAAAAAAAAAGAAACTAAACCTGCTATCAGAAAAAAGAAAAAAAGTAAAAAAACAAGCAATCATGTAGATGTTATTATAAAAGATACTATCGAAGAAACTAAAACTCAGTTGGACAGTACGATAATAAAGGTAAAACCGAAACTTCACCCCAAACAAACCAACTTTGATAATTTTAATTTAATTGGCATGCAGAATCAAAAAACTAAACCAAAACGTTCAGCTGAGAAGACCAAACCACCAATTCCTGATCCAACAATCTTAGAAGCTTCATCAAATTTTAAATCAAATCTAATATCTCGGGGAAAATCTAGATTTTATGCTTCTGAAAATGAAGCAGATGAGATAGTTGACTTAAATTTGATACCGTATATAAAGAAGGCCAAGCCCACTCTTCCAAAATATCCTAACAAGCCATGTCAAAGTATGTAATAGTTTTTTTACTCATTCATCAATTTCTCAATATAATTGGATACAATATGGATAAATAAAATGCTTTCATGAAATATCATATGAAATTAAAGTGAAACAATGAGCTTAGCAAGTTTTATTTCTTAACTTAGCTAAGGTCTAATTTTTTTAACATTTTTTATCATCCGGCCATTATTAGAATAAATTGTTTTTCTTACGACTTACGTTCCAGATGAACTCTTAACCTCTCGATCGATACTTATCTTGTCAAATTTTTAAAATGCCTTCCTACCTACTCATCATTTATTTTTTATTTTGAAACCATACGAATACACTTGTTCTGATTTTACTACTTGACAACTTTAAAAAATGTTTAAATTAAAAAATTTTTGTAGTCAGAATATTAATTTTGCTTATTAGTTGAACATTTCAAGTTAATTAAGAAATACTTATGATTTGAGTTACTGAACGCTGTAGAATGATTGAAAGTTTTGCAATACGAGACTAGACATTACGAAACTAAACATTCATTACGAAGATGATATTGATGATGAGAAAACGGGAGCAGATCTGAACTTTGAAAATTTGTTCGTTTTATATAACAATGCAGATTCAAAGAAAATTATTTATGACATTTGAACACATAGAAGTTTTATTTTAAAAGGTCACCATGTTTTCAAGACGTTTCAAAAAAAGAAAAAACGATATAATTAAAACGAGACGAAACGGATACAAAATGTTTATGTCTCGAAGCAAGGACGAACCTGTCGAAAACGTTTTTGTTGTTTTGAGACGTTACGGTTTTGACAGGGGCCTAATTTACAATGTTTTTTGTTAGTGGCGATGCCTGATATAAATTTTACTCAATTACTTTATCGTTCAGCCATGTAAGTGGAATATTTTTCATCAACTCCACTCGCCAAGTAGAACATGTGACCTTCCAAATATTTTTGCATTACAATAAAATTTTAATTTGGAAAAATTATCGCTATATGAAAATTTACTTCTGCCAAAGGGACATGATTAAATTTAAAGCTATTTTAAAAGATTTTTGTTTTTATGGGTAAACTACTATACAGCTTAATTAATATGGCTGTCATTATCATGTGATCCTTCTTACTTACAATGGACCACTGGTTTAAAATAATTTAACAATTAATTATAATTTGAATTCTGTTTTAAATATTAAAGTTGTCTCAACATTTAAAAAATTGAAGAACATTTTTTTTCTGAACTATAATTATTTTTTATGGACAATCCACTAAATTTCTTTTTCAACCCGTTTCTATTATTTTATTTAATTTTATATTAAAATTTTGCAAGATGGCCAGCCATGTTTGTTATTTGTTAAATAAGTTATTTGGTAACTTGAGCATAGTCATTCTATCTTCTTAATTTTGTTTGCAAACAAATTAATATCGTCATATCGGATTGTAAATTTGAAAAAAAAGCATTTATTTTTATCGTTTGATATAACCTTTAATATTTGACAACAGATTACTCACATTTAAATGCACAGTGAAATGTCGTAATGTTAAAGTGTCGATCCCACGTTGCAATGATCTGGTTTGAATGCAATTTATAAGTTAACGCGTATCTTCGTACGTTCTTTGTTGTAACTGGCACCTAAATAATGTAAAAAGTACTGCGATTTCATATTTGGCTAAATTGTATTTGTGAATTTAACTATTTTTCACTTATTTTAGCCCATGGGACAGAAGATTTTCAAAAGAGACCTTACAAAACTCGGTATGTGCACAGTGAAGCTGAAATTTCTGACTTTGAGCCTCCTGAATTACCTAGTCCAGGTACATCTTTCAAGCAGGCAGCTTTAAAATCAATGAACACTGCAACAAAAACGAACCACTATAAAAGCTTTTTGTTGAGACAACCTGGACATCACGACAAAAATTTTAATTATCTTCTCAAACTTTACAAACCTCGTCATAAAAGAAGATGTAGAACAAGACATTTATTTCCGTCAGCTGGCAGATATGGAGAGTATGAAATGAGGAGAGTTTTGAGTAATAGAAGTTTAACTGAATCTGAAAGTGAAATTGAAAATATGTCATTTATAAGTGATGATCAGAATGATTATGATTCGTTCCACGGATCAACCAATTCTTTGGATCGGTCAGCAGCCAAAATTGAAAACCCAATTTACAAAAGTTTAATGAAATACAAAAAGTTAAAAATGATGGGAAGAGATCCAAATAAATTGAACAGCAATCCATTCAACTTTCCAGAGCCACGCATATTTAGTTTGGAGAAATATGATGATATTGCAAAAATTTGGTTGGAGCAAGTTGATAAAAAAACAGTTAAAAAATCTGATACAATGTATTTATCAGTTCTACCGGACGGAAAAGATTTACCGATTTCATTGCGTCCGAGCAAGAGCTACACACCCGAAAGTGATTTCAGCTACAACATAAGACCGCAATGGGTCATGGCAAGAAGCAGAATCAATATAAAGAAACAACTGTTTGACCAATTTTCTGAATCTGCGTTCGATCATAATGTTAGTACAAATTTTGGCAAGCATCTAGTGCTGTTCTTTAAAGTTGGTTACAATTGGTTGGAACTCGCTTGGATTTTATTTGGTGATTTGTTGAAAGAGTCACAAATTGTCCGACTAATAAAAGATGTTCAACTAAAACACCCTAATAACTTAACTAGCCAGGTGAATGATTTTGCAAAATTTTTAATTGGTTAGATTTATTTTCACTTAACTTTATTGTTAAAAATGGTGTATTTGCACCGAAGAGGCTTTTTATCCAAACTCAAAATGCGCGTCAATACTCTACTCTGGCCATTCAGTTAAGCAGGAACGACACAAAACAAGGTCACTGCAATTGATTTGGTTAAACGTTAGAGCTAGACGTAACACTTCTAAATACAGAGAATTAAAATAGTGCTTATGTGTTTATGTACATGCTAAATCTTTTTTAATTTGAACTGCATAAATCTACTTAACAGTTCAAATAATTTTTAAGATGTTAATCCTCAAATTTCAATTTTAGTCTATCATATTTGTTTGTTATTTTAATATAATGTATATGAATTGTTAAACATTCTCTACATATCGTATGACCTAGGGTTATGGTGAACGTAGTTCGTATGAAAATCAAAGCCATGTTAATCTTCTTTTATATCTTGAACCGTATATTAACTTTTTTTATACTTATAATATTTTTATAACTTTCATATACTATTATATCACATTAAACACCTTTTAAACACATCTACTGCCGCTTTTCACATGTCTTTTTCCTTTAATTTCTGACCAGCTTCTTTAACTTTTACTGAAGATTTGTGACATTGTTAAATACATTTTATTGGTATCCTGAAAAGTTTTTTATAATATTTGTATTTAGTTCGTTTTAATATTAAATTATTTTAAGAAATTTAATTTTTAATCGTTTCACGTTGTTTAAGGTTACTGATTTAATGCAAAGATGGTGGCATACGAAAGGGGACGGAGCAACTATTCAAGAACTGCAAAAAGCCTTAGATTTATTACAGATATTCTACATAGAAGAAGAATTAAACGACAATGAACAACCAGAAAATTCACATTTCAAAGTGACTGAAGACATTTTAGACGTTGGCGTGGTTACGACAAAAAATCCAAATGTCAGTCGTATGTCAGAAGAGTATAATACGAAATCTCTAAACAATAGTTTTATTAACTCATCTAGAGAAACTAAATTCGTTGATGATCTATCGCCTGAAAAAGTTTTGAAAAAAAATCAATTTAACTCTAATGGCATGAACGAACTTTTAACCTCCGTAAATAAACTTTCAAGAAGGAACCCCCATGATGAATCATCAGATGCATCAAATGTCGTGGCATTTGGCAAGGAGGAAAATAAAAAGGATACGCTTGACGTTTCCTCCACTCTTACAAAGAAGACCACGTTGAAAGACAGAAAAAAATCGCCTGTTGGTATTTACATTAATTTGAAAATTTTAACTAAATTGTAAGTTGGTTTTCATTTTCTCTTTAATTGAAAAACTTTAGTCCTTGAAGTATTATTTTCAAAGCTAGTATCAGATACTATGAAATAATTTTTGCTTTAATAAAAATGTTACATGTTACCGTTACTATATGATTTATCTTTAATATATTTAGATTGTACATAAACAATGTAAAAAATACTGAAAAAATTAGGAATTTTAGCAATTATTATGTGAAGACAAAAAACCTGATTTATTTAATTTTATTTCAAATAAAATGGCAGTTCAATCACGAAACCAATCTGTAAAAGAACGAAGATGAAAAAACTGCAAGTATAATCTTCCGTTTTCAGGTCGAAGTTAATTTATGGAAATCCGTTTTATGAGTAAATTTTAAATAATTTGACAGGGTTGCATCTCTTATTTGTTTCTATCATTTAAAATATTCCATAGATGGAATTGATAATCCATTTTGGTTGCTTGTTTATGTTGTCAGATTTGTAAATGTTCGAAAAATTGAACAACTACGCACGCGTAACAAAGGCAAAACGAAGTTACAGGCTAACAACCTGCGAACTATTTCATCATGTGCTGAATTTTTGTTACTAAACAATTAATTATTTTAAAAAATCTATTTCGATATTTTTCGACATTTTGTATTTGACAATTTTCAAATAACTAGATAACTTGTGACAGTAGTTCAGTTAAGGTGTGTTGAAATGGTTGTCATAAACTGTTTTTTATTTTTTTAATTTTAATCCTTATTAATGATTTGAATAAAAAAAAAATGAAGGTGAATGAGGTGGTTAGAGATATTTTAATTTTGAAGTGGGTAGAGCCATAAGATTCTGCATTTTTGAGGTACCCTCAACTAAGATCTCTCTCTTGACTGAGTTTAAGGAATCCTGAAAAAATAAATATCAAAGGACGTGAATCAGCGGTAACAAGTGGCCAATGCTCTTTTAGTTGACAAATTTAGTTGAAGTTAGTTAATTGGAATTATTTTAATAGAAATTGAAATATACTGCCTACCGGGACGTTGAAATGAAAGCGTTTGCGTCATCATATTGTATTTTACCTACTGTGCGTATTGTTATCTCAAGATTCCTTTTTTGCAACAGTTATAACAGATGTGTGACGTCCATAACGCTCATGTTTTCAGTAAAGGTTGGTAATGAAAAGAATATGATAATAGGACAATATCAGTACAAAATACCATGGGTGAAGGTTATTCTACACTACGGTCACATATTTTTTGAAGCTGATCTCAATACTAACCCTAGTAATCGTATATAATTGTGTATATATGAATGTATACGACGCAAAGTTAAAATACTCTTGTTTATTTCGTTTCCGTTAAAATTGGAGCCAGTATTTTAGGTTTGAATATATATATATATATATATATATATATATATATATATATATATATATATTATTACTTCCAATTTAACTTTTCGATTTTTCTAACTGTTGATCGTAAATCATTTTCAAGTTTCTTTAGTTCAGAATCAAAATTTTTGTTTGTTTTATGCATGATAGAACAGAAAAGCTTTTTTCGGTATTTCTATACCATCTTCGGTGTTCAAATTGATATGTTGTGATATATATATATATATATATATATATATATATATACATACATATATATGTATATTTTTTTGGAATAGACTGCCAAATGACGTCTAAAGACATACTTGTATAAATCATTGCTTTGAATTACGTTGTTTTTTTTTTATTTTATGAACATGGAGTGCTGATGAAAATTTTTAATTTTAATTAGCGCTATATAAATTTTAACATAAATAATAATAATAATGCAATTATTGATGAAAATCACAGCATGTTATTTTATCAATAATTGCATTTCTGACAATCTTAATCCAATATTAGGTAATTAACGCTGAAAAAGCTGTAATTTTCGTCAATAATTGCATTTCTGACATTCTTAATCCTATTTCTGTTTAATGTTTCAACAAAATCTTATATATATATATATATATATATATATATATATATATATATATATATATATATATATTATTATAAGAAAACTTGTATAGCGACTTTTATAGAACTACTCAGAGTCGCTATCCAACATAACCAAAAAAAAATTTTTGTCCATTTAAGTGATCATACAAAAACAAAAATCTTTCGAAAATAAACATAAGTATACATTGTAAAAAGAACTAAAACAAAACAGATAAATCCTTTAAATTCATGCTGCACAGATGCACACTCTCGACCATACCCAATCACTCAAAGTAATGTAACAGCCATATAAGAACCAAACAGCAACCACTTTAAACCAAATCATAGATACATTCATCCACACTTTATCCACATCTATCACACACAATTACGCTCAGAAGATGCACGATAACATATAATTCAGAACAACCAACACATAAATACCCAACCACCAGCACAATAATTATTATATATATATATATATATATATATATATATATATATATATTTACAATATTCTATAAATTATATCGAATGTTTGGCGTTAATATGTTTGTAGTTCGTTTTTTCAATACAAACTACAAACATATTAACGCCAAACATTCGGTAGAATTTATAGAATATTGTAAAAATTATGGTATATTATATTATTACCAACATATATATATATATATATATATAAACACTTTATATAATAACATTTGCATTTTTAATTCCGCATTTATTAACATAACATAGCATAATAGTTCAATAAAAGGCGCGAACTAAAGTTCCTATGCCCCCAACAAAATCATAATCAAAATATAACCAACTCTAAATAACAGAAAATAATATTATCGAAATAAAACAACTAGTCTGAAATAAACCACAATAGTATTAACCCAACTGAAAAAGATAAAGAACGAGAAAAAAAATATATATGTATACATATCAATCAAGCTTACAGTTAAATTTACACGGCATATCCTTCAAAGCATTGTCAAGTTTCTTTATAAAATCATCAACATTGCATGCATTCACCACATCCTCTCCTAGACCGTTCCAAATGTCAACCACCCACTCGATTACAAAAAGAAAATTTGCGCAAATTTCTCCTAAACTTTTGCGTTGTAAGCTTGAATTGATGACCCCTTGTTCTGTTATCTTTTGCCATTATCAAAGTAAGATAACACGACCCTTCAAGATCTCAGGTCATCCTGAATACCAATATAAGGTCACCTCTTAGACGACGGAATTTTAGAGTTGGAAGATCCAGGAATCTCAAGCGGTCCTCATAGCTCAAGCCACGACGCTCCTTCACCAATTTTGTTGCTCGCTTCTGCACGCGTTCCACATCCTCACTCACCTTCTTAGTCCACGGTGCCCACTAGTTGGCTGCGTACTCGATCCTTGATCTGACAATTGATTTGTCTATTAACAAAAAAGAAAATGAAGATAAATGACCGAAATTAAAATGACGCGAAATTAAACCTAAATAACTATTACATTTATTTATACTATTATAAATATGTTTGTGAAATGTCAAGTTCCTATCAAAAATTACACCCAAGTTATTTACTTTATCACAATAATTTAAATAACTTCCATCTATATGATATAAATTGTTTTTTAAATCATTTTCATTCCCACTCCCATATCTAAAAACCACACATTTTTGAATATTTAACTTCAATTGCCATTCATGGTACCATTCAAAAAGACCATTCAAACACAACTGAACAATCATTCTATCATCCTCGGAACAAATACTCTTAAAAAACTTGGCATCATCAGCATACAAATAAACACCCACACCTGCTCTATCTGCAAAAACATCAAATAAATCGTTGACATAAATAACAAACAAAATTGGTCCCAACCCCACTAGTAACACCAAAGTTATCTGACGTAGAACCATTGACTTTAACCACAAATGATCTATTTTTCAAATAATCAGCGATCCAATTAATATCCAAATCATTCACTCTGTAAGACTTTAATTTAAGAATAAGCTTATCATGTAGAACTTTATCAACAGCCTTCTCAAAGTCAGTATATATAACATCCACTTCTCCACCCCCCATCAACTATCAAACTCCATTCATCCAACATCTTTAGCAACAACAAAACAGCAGATTTTCCAGGCATAAATTCAAATTGTCCACATTTAAATAAATTATTTTCTTCAAAATGATTCATGAACCGATCTTTAATTACTGACTCCAAGACCTTACAACACAAACAACATAAGGAAACTGGTCTTTAATTCTCCACACTACATGCATCACCCTTTTTATAAACAGGCACAACAATACTGTGCCTCCATGCATCCGGAATTGTGTGCAAACCCAAAGAAATATTAAATAAGTCACATAAATAATCCGCAATCACACTACTACACTCAACCGAAACCTAGAAGAAATATTATCAGGCCCAGCTGATTTATTTATATCTAGTTTCTTTAACTTTAACATTATATCGTTGACATTAATGGGCTCCCACGACATTTCACAAACACACCTAGTACCACAAACCATTGCAAAATTATTCCCAGCAGGCATACTAAACACACTGCTAAAATAAACTCCAAATATATTAGCCTTTTCTGTATTGTTACTTATGTTTACTTTATTACCCAAACTATCAACCCTAGATAAAATATTAATATTACCCTTTGATTTTCTTTTTACATTTATAAAATGCCAAAAAGCCTTTGGATTAATCTTAATGTTTTTAGCTAGATTCAATATATAATTATTTTTAACTATCAATCAATATATCAATCAATCAATCTTCGTTTTGCGTCCAGAGACACGGTTTCCCGAGGTAGGACGTTGTTTTTTTTGCAATCAACTTTTTGCGCCAAATTAGACGATTAGTTGTATCCATTTCATTTAAATTTAGAGCTTTCACGTCTTGCTCGATTGTTTGCGACCAGGACTTCTTTGGACGGCCTTTGGGACGTGTGCCAGGTACTTCAACATCTGCAAGAGAAGTTATGGCACTTTGTTTGACATGACCAAACCACCGCAGACGGTGTTGCCGGCATTCGTCCTTTATATCATCTAAACCAGCAC